TCCCTGTAAACTGGCAAAGAAAACAGAAGAAGGATGTGGAACTCCAATCCCCGCCCCTCCCCTAGGGCTAGATCTCAGGTCCACACATAGCCTTCTGCACAGAAGCCTCGCTAGTATGGGAAGGAAGTGTCACGGCTCATTGCCCCCAGTCTCTGGAGAGGGACAGAGGTCCACGAGCACCTCCTAGACTCAGCAAGGGAGTGGTGATGCTTCATGAAGGAGGATGGGCCAGTCAAACGCTGAATGAGTCCTGCCAGGTTCCGTAGAAAACACTCAGCATCCCCAAGCTTCCCTTCCGCCTCCCACTGACAGAAGGGACCTAAGGCTGCTCAGGGGCTACAGCCAGTGAGAGCCAGGAGCTTCAGATCTTGGACTTGATCCTGCTGAGTAAAGGGATTACGCCAGCCTGTCCTTGGATGCCCATCGGTGTTGTTTATAACAGAGAAAAGTCTATGCTTACTTAAATTATCCCAAGAAAGGATGGGCTGGACGAATTTGGCGCCTTCGTCGGACAATGCAGTTGTTCAAAATAATGCTTTTTAAAGAATATTGTGGGGTGCAGTGATGTACTTACTCTCGCACAGTAAGTGAAAAGACCCAAACAAACTAACAAGTACCACGATCCCAACTTTTAAAATTGTGTGTGCTTGTGGGGCTTGCAAGATGGCGTGTGCTGTCCAACCTGACGGCCTGAGTCCATTCCTCAGGACTCATCGGGCGGGCAGAAGGAGAGAATCAACTCCTGTAAGTTGCCCTCTGACCTCCACACGTGCACATGTGTGTGTGTGCTCATACACATGAATAAGCAGAAGTATAAAAAAATCACATGTGCTTACAGAAACTTAAAAGACTGGCTTATAATACATGCAGCTTTTAGGAACACGTGACACAGTAAGTTTGTGGACCCAGAAGACAGCAGCAAGCATCAAACCTGATGATGCACCAGGCTTGCAAAGGCTCCACAACCAAGGAAATGTTTCCTCAGCGGCACCATTGCCATCCAACGTGTCTGAGGGAGTGACACTGAGCTCTACTCTGTACGTCTGAGGAAATACCTCGCAAAATGCAAACATCATAAAACGCCATGTACAATGACAGCTACTGCTTTGGGGTACATTTGTTAAGTGTTTGGCTCTTCACGTTTCCCTGCGTTTCCACAGTGAGGCCCCTTTGTTCCAGCACGTTATCACTGGGTTCTGCTTTTATGTCCAGCCCAGGGCTCGTTTGTTTCGGGCACAGCTGAGTTTTTGTGTGGGGGGCACAGCTGGCTCTCCTGCCAGCGTCTTCACAAGACATCAAGAACCCGGTTAGCTCCCCACTCAGGCATCTCTCACCCATTAGATTTAAAGCAGCAAATTGCAGTGGGAGATGCAATCTTCCCACAGGCGGCCCACTCATATCCTCTGACGTGAGAAGAGATTCGGAGGCGGCTGCCAGAAGCCTTTTCCACTCCGCAAATTGCTCTCAAAAAAATACATGCTGCCTTATTTTCATTTCTGAAATAGTTTGTGTTCTGTTCTCTCCGGAAGCTGGGGGATCAGGCAACGGATCAGTTCAAGTGCTGGAGGAAAATAAGACCTCAATTATTTTGCCAACTGCAGAGACATCCCAGTCCCGACTGAAGAACAATACTCTGGAGGCAAGTCACCCCCCACCCTGCACTTGGGGGCCCTCTAGAGCCCCCTGTAAAAGGAGTGGTCAACATGAGGGCTTGGCCAGGGTCCACAAATGCCTGGGAACCACGCGTGATCCGCGAGGTTGTTTTCTGGTTCGGGTTAGCCCACACTCACAGTTCTCTTGCCTCTGTCTCCTAAGTGCTGGGATTGCCTGCCTACGTGTGCCGTCACAGTCTGCTTGACAGATACTTTTTAATCAGCAGATGAATGCACCCGTGCACACGACTCCTAGTCTTTACATCACAAATATGTTTCTTGCAGATGAATGCACCCGTGCGAACGAGTCCTAGTCTTTACATCACAAATGCGTTTCTTTAAAGGGGGTTACTCCTTAGGAATCTCTCCACCTTCCCCCAACCCCCGTGTGTGTGTGTGTGTGTGTGTGTGTGTGTGTGTGTGTGTGTGTGTGTGTGTCCATGCCTCTAATTCTAGAGCAAGTATTTACTAAAAGCCCACTGTGTTCTCAGCGTTGGGCTAAGACCGAACAGGAACCTAACTACTGACCCTTGACGATGCCTGGCGGCTTCTTGTTCAAAGCACACACTCTGTGGCTGTGTCACCACTTAGGGAGTGGAACCAAAACTGAGAAGCACCCATCTCACTTTCCTAAAGCCTCACATCCTCCACCAGGGGCCACTAACTGAAACCTACCCCTCTCCCCCGACACTTTCCACTAACACACGGCAACAGGGTCAAAACAACTCTTTTTTTTTTTTTTTTTTTTTTGCTTTTATGAGACAGGGTTTCTCTGTATTGTTTTGGAGGCTGTCGGTCCAGCCCGGCCTCGAACTCACAGAGATCCGCATGTCTCTGCATCCCGAGTGCTGGGATTAAAGGTGTGTGCCACCACCGCCCAGCCAAAACAACTCGTTATCTGGCTGTGACACTGCCTTCGTTCCCTGATGCACGGAGGCAGGAGGACTGCCTGAGTCTTTGGGCTAATGGTCATTTTGGGGCAGAATTATGAAATAGCAGCAATAGAAACACTGTTGCTACGAGGACTCTCCTGGACATCACCCCTCAAGGGCACAGAGACGAAGTCCTTTGATAAAGGCCACTTCCTCACCAGAATAATTAATTCGCTGGGCTCAGAGCTTTAGATTTCACTGTGTTTATGGTGAGACATCTTCTCATGGGGGGGGGGCTCCACCCACCACTTAATTCAGCTTAGCCCATCTCCTCTGAGTACACACAGGGTGCCATGTTTGAAGTAAGAAACTCCTTCCGGGCCATGCTTGGTTCTGCCACACTTCCTGTTACGTCTGCATGACTCTAAGGGTCAGTGGAACTTGCAACACAGCAGTCTCATGCCCAGGAATAGCTTCCGGTCTCTAAGGTGAGCAATTATTGTATGTGGCAACCAATGGAGGAACTCCAGCCTAGGTTCTGGAGATTTCGCTTGCCAAGACTCAGACAAAGAGCCAGGTAAATCAGAAATAAGCCTGGCCATGGCTGAATCCCTAAGATGGCCCTATTAGTGAAATGGGGTAGATTTTTCTTCTATAAAAATCTCATTACTATGACAAAGCATGATATATGAGTTGGTCAAGATAAGAGGAAACATCTGAAACTGCACAGGGGGAAAAATCATTACCTAGAAATTATTCATTATCTGAAACGTAGGTGACCTGAATAAGAAGGCAAGTCAAAACCAAATCAAACTTAAAATTGCCAGTAATCCTTTCGGATCAGGGGTCAGCAGTTCTCTGATTTAAAAAAAAAGCATTTAGAGACATGCATTCCTGAAAAATAAAGACCAGCTTGCAGCTGAGAAAACTGTGTACGGATGCAGAATCTTAGAAATGCCTGAACAAAAGTCTAGCCCACCACCCCCCGGTGGTTAGAGCTTCATCTGCAGGCCAAGGACGTTGAAATGCATGATGACTAAGACTCTAGATCCTAAAAGTCTTGGGATTCTAAAAGTAAAGTTCGGCAAAATTAAAAATACCCAAATACACAAAATATCTTAATGCTGATGAGAGACGTTCCGTAGCTTCACCTGTCAGGAAGACAATATCCAATGAATAACAAAAGCCCCAGAACATCATTCTGTCTTGTCACCATGGAAACCTGGTAAACTAGCCCATCTCCATCAGTCTGAGGGTGTAAAAGACTAGGATAGCTAAACACCACATGGTGAAATAAAGGCACATCATTAGCAGTCAGCTCAAGATCATCCCACCAACGCTGCTACATCAGGAAATTTGGCAATAATTAAAAATAGCTAAAAGAGCATTGTTCACATTGGCAAGGAAGTGGCATTAGGTGGGAATCTAATAATTTATATCCAAAGAGTGTCCCATTTCACCATGGTTTTAGAAGACCCATCATCCAACCAACTGGAGAAGCTGGGACAAGGATAGTGGGAGTGGCTTGTCCAAGGTCCCACTGCTCAGTGTCGGAGCCTTCTTACGTCATAGAATGCTTTCCTGCACTCTGTGGGAAACACCGCGATGTTAGGTCTACACTGTACGAAGAGTAGACCCCAAAGGGTGTCTAAGATGAATAGATATGAGGAGGAACCCGGGAGGTCTTCCCACTCTAGCCCCCAGCCTGGATAATGAATGCTACACACACTCAATTGCATCAGTCACAGGACCAGGAAGTCACCAAATGAAATGCCTAGGAAATCCAAATGAGGCTTCTGACCTCCGCCATCACAAGCATTTGGCGACCACATCACTGAGCCTCTTTTTCGCGCTTGGGCTTTCGCAGGAAAACACAAAGCAGCTGATGTTTACTGAGCGCCTAGTAGGTACCGGGTGTTATGCTAGGCTTTCTCATTTTCATTGTTTTATTTGACTCACAAAGTCTTGTGGAGTCTTTTCAGCCTTATGTCCCGGATGAGGAATCACTCTGCATGAACGCTAAGCACAGAGTCTTGACTAAGATCTGTTGAACACAGCTCCACTCACTCTGCCATGCCAGAGTCTTTCCTAACCTTTGGGCCATCCTGCTGCTGGGATTTTACCCAAGCCACTGACTCCAACCACCTCCCAAAGGAAAAACATCCGCTATATCTTCTTGAACCAGCCTCTCAGACTGCACAGTGGAATTAATCTAGAGTCTACCCAGACACCTAAGTTTGGAATTCATTTTATGAGAAAAAAAATATGTGGGCAATAAATGGCTTGGGTATACAACTCTCTCCAGTAAAACAAAGAAGAGACATAAAAGGGAAAATCCTGTTGGTCACAACTCCAGAGTCGGATGATGGAAGCCCACCTTAAGTACACAGCCTGGCAACAACTAACATTCTTACTAAGAGTGATGCTTGTCACGGTGTGCAGGGATGGAATGGGAGGAAGCAAGGTCCGGACTTACACTTATGTCAAGACTGCACAGGCTGATGGCGTCTTCATCCTGGGTACTCTGCTTCCGTTTCCGCTGCAAGACAGATGGAAAAACAAAATTCAAATGTGAACAGGATTGTGGCTTTGATCAGGGAAGAAAACAGGCAATCAAATAACCCTGCAACTCTTCTCACTTCCAACGTGTCTCCCAAAAGTTCCGGCCAAGCTCGGAAGGTAGGAGATCAAAGAACCATGGGGAATTATTAAGCTCTGAGGTGAGGTAATTGGCTTGCATTCTTATCAGTCATGCCTCTCTCTCTCTCTCTCTCTCTCTCTCTCTCTCTCTCTCTCTCTCTCTCTCTCTCTCTCTCTCTCTCTCTCTCTCTCTCTCTCTCTCCCCCTCCACTCTGTGTGTGTGTGAGTTTTCCATAAATGTTTCTATTTAACCTTTAGAAACTTAGATACTAGGTCTAATTCTAACTGACTTGGAAGAACACATCAGAGTGGAAAGGAAATCTAATTTCCTTGGAATTATCTGTTCTAAACCTTGTACTGGGTCATGATGTAATCACAAGGCCACATTCCACATTCTGGAAATAAACATAAACATTGTCTCCAACCTTCCCACTGATAGGCATAAAAACTGAGGCTTAGGGATGGTGATAGGGGTAGCTGGGTAGCAGACACTTGCCTAGATCATAAAAGGCCCTGAATTCGATCCCCAGAAACACACACACACACACACACACACACTTACTTGCCTTTCTCTTTTATACTTCAGAATCAGAAAAGTCATTATTCTACTACAGGCATTTCAAATAAATTCATATAATTATGGTCACCACACTAAATTAAATGCAAAAATCTATTTTTCCCCTCTAGAAAGCCGACAAGACATTTATCTATAAACTACAAGGAAGCACATCCAAGATTTGTTCCGTTATCTTCTGCGTTCTCAGGTCTGCCTGGGCCAAGTATTTCCTGGGTCCTCAAATCCGTACCAAGGCTGCTTAGAGGGCAGCTACCAGAAGGCAGGAACTACCAGAGTGACATCACAGGACTGCCTGGAGATGTTTGGAGTCTGCAACACCAAAGAAGCCGCCTCCTCTTCTCATTCAGAACCTGAATCTGAGCAGAGGTAGGGATTGGACCATCATCTGAACAAAGGCTCGCTGAGCAGGTATCTACTAGGCTCTGCACTAGCTTCCGGAAAGGCACAGGTCGGCAAACTCCCACGGTTAAAGAATGCGCATTCATGTAAGAGAGACACGGCAAATGTGATCTGCGCACCCTAGATCCACACATCGGGAAAACCACTTCTGTGACTCACTCTTTCTCAGCTCCGGGGTTGGGATGGCAGGGTGGTGGTGACATCAGTCCCAAAGAAAGGGAAACAAATGTATCTTTGGTTTCCCAGGGCCTTAGGCATGCTAAGTGAGTGCTTTACTACGGAGCTGCACCCCAAGGCCCTACAACAACGCAGAGCAGAATATACCAGGTGCACACAGCTGGTGCTCTAAAGGCAGGATGCAACATTCTAGAAGTGCCAAGATGGAGGTCTTCTCACCGGAGGAGGCATTTTTATAATGGGACGAATAAAAGCATCAGATGAAGATGGGGAATGGGCTGGGGTTTCTTCTCACAAAGCCAGCTGCTTAGCTCTCCGCATCAGCATCTCTGATCACTTCTCAGGGATTCTGCAGCCGTCTGCATCCCTTCAGTGAGAACGCTTGGAGGCCCTACACCTCCACTAGTTTCGAGGCCCGACAAGCCTCCAGCTTCAGCCTCTCAACCAGCTAGGGCGACGGGCATGTGCCCCTGCGTCCAGTCAATATGATAACTTTTTTGAGACCGGTGCGGCAAGAAACCATTCCCATTTTACAGGTCAATGGACTGAGGCTGGCAGAGATTAGCAATTTGCCGGAAGTTCCACGCTATGCTATAATACTCGAAATTAAGGATTCTACTTCCAGAGGTAAAACCCTTCGCCACACTGCCTACATCTTACCCACCACCGGGAATGTCTGATGGAATCTTCTGTGTGGAACACTGTCCTAAAGACTGCACGGCGGGGCGAGCAGGCAGATGAGTATCCACCAGCCACACGAGGTAGGTGAGCAGTGAACAAGCACTGCAGGGAGGCCCTGCTGCTTAGGGGAACCCAGGCCCTCCCTGAGCTTAGCTTTCCCTGCCCTGTGATGCTGTGGTACTGCACCTGGGGTCGGGGTGGGGTCGGGGTGGGGCCTGGGTGGGCGGAAGGAAGCTCAAGTTCCTGACACTGTCTAGGAAGACAAAAACACCACTCACCAGGCCCGCCCACCGTGGGCACCACAGATGAGGGGTGTGGTGTCTGGAACAAGTGGCAGGCCCAGTGCGTGCCCAGGGTATAAGCGGCAGAGCTGTATGACATCACCTGGTATTGTCAGGTCACATATTCTGTGACGCTACAAATTGTATTCCTAGGGCTCAAGTATTTTGTCGAGCGGTACACAGTCCTCTCTAGAGGAGGACAGCAGATGAGAGCTCCTCTCCCCTCCATGAACCCTGGAACCCAGCCTCCAACCCTCAGCCACCAGCCCGGCTCTGACAGACATTTCCAAAGGCTTCAAGAGTCTAGTCTGACCCTCAGATGTCCTGCAAGTGGTCCTTTCCGTGATGCCGAAGTCAGTTACTTCAACTAAGGATGATCTTTTAAAAACCCACAGGGTGAGGCACTTGAGAGGCAGAGGCAGGTGGATCTCTATGAGTTCAAAGCCAGCCTGGTCTACAGAGTGGGTTCCAAGACAGCCAGAGCTACACAGTGGGACTCTGTCTCAAACATACAAATGAAAAGAAAGAAAGTGTGTGTGTGTGTGGGAGAGAGAGAGAGAGAGAGAGAGAGAGAGAGAGAGAGAGAGAGAGAGAGAGAGAGAGAGAAGAAAAGCAAGTCACGGGGCTGGGAGAGAAGTCTCGGCAGCTAAGAGCATTGGCTGGTTCAATTCCTAGCACCCACATGGCTTACAACAGTCCATAACTTCAGTCCCAGGGAATCCAATACCTCCGGCCTTGGCATGCACTAGGCACATGTGTGCCGTACAGACATACATGCAGGCAAAACATCTACACACATAAAATCATTTTTAGTTAAAAAAGGAACCCACACATATTACAAGATAAAAGCTGCATGGATTTTGAGATAAAGCTTTCTTGTCAGTTCTTATCACACAGGATGATGCCTAGCCGCTGCTGGCAACAAACAGGTCAGAAGGGTTTTTTTGTTTGTTTGTTTGTTTGTTTTAGATGTTTTTAAAGATAGGGTCTCACTATGTGACTCTGGCTGGCCAACGATTCACTACGTACACCAAGATATCTCTGGGCTCCCAAGTGTGGTGATTGCAAGCACCAGCACATCCAAGATGTCGGAAGCTTGAATTCTAAGTCAGAAGCAAAAGCTCCACAAAGCGTCATTTAGCCATCGCTCACCACTTCGTGGTCACTGAGCACATCTGTACCAACAGCTGCTCTGGGTGCTGGAAACCGGCATGGGCAAGGCATACCCCCGGACTACTCACTGGGAGTGAAAAGAGGGTAAGAGGATTTACTTCACACTGTGGTGGCCACTGTGATCTAGTAAGGCAGAGATCACATACTGGGTCATCTTCCTGATCTCCAGTGTCTGACTATGTGTGCATGCACCTATGTGCATGCACACGTGTGTGGAGGGCAGATGTTGGGTGTCTCCTTCAATCGTTTTCTTTTTTTCTTCTTATTCTTAAAGATGCATGTATTATGTATAGTGTCCCGTCTGCATGTATGCCTGCAGGCCAGAAGAGGGCACCAGATCTCACTACAGATGGTTGTGAGCCACCATGTGGGTGCTGGGAATTTAACTCAGGACCTCTGGAAGAGCAGCCAGTGCTCTTAACCTCTGAGCCATCCCTCCAGCCCTTCTTCAATCATCTTCAACCTTAAAAGTTTAATAGTTTTAATTATGGGATTATTTAAATATTTTAAAGATTTTATTTATTTATTATGAATACAACATCCTGCCTCTACATATGTCTGCACGCCAGGAGAGGGCTTCAGATCTCATTACGGATGGTTGTGAGCCACCATGTGGTTGCTGGGAATTGAACTCAGGACCTCTGGAAGAGCAGTCAGTGCTCTTAACCGCTGAGCCATCTCTCCAGCCCTATTTAAATATTTTAAATATGCTCGTGAGTGCAGGTACCACAGTGGCCAGAGTCACTGGGTCTCCCTGGAGCTGAGGTCCTAGGAGGATGTGGGGCACCTGGCGTGGGACCTGGGACTTGAACTTGGGGCCTCTGCAAGAGCAGTATATGATCATAACAACTGAACATCTCTGCAGACCTTTCGCTGTTTGTTTGTTGGTTGGTTGAGACAGATGCTCTCATGAACCTGGAACTTGCTGATTGGCTAGACTCACAAGCCAGCAAGCCCTAGGTAGGAACCCTTCTGTCTCCACAGCTCGGAGCTGGGTGCTAAGGATGGAACTCAGGTCCCACTGCTTACACAGAGCCTCGTAGGGTGCCGCTTGATTTCTGTAGCCTTGGGGCTTGTTCTCTTCACCAGCCTCCACCTCCAGAGAAGACCCAGGTGGAAGGAGAGGAAGGGCCACATGGGCAGCCGCTCTAGCTGGTCATGAAGGCGTGTCCTGGAGCGGCTGCACACATGCACCACAAACCCAACAGGCAACAGGAGTTTCTCGCGTACCAGGAAGCTGGGCTCATCGCGTTCATGCTCTACAGAACAATTCACGGAAGACATCACCAGCCAGAGCCAAGCCACGGAGCTACTGACAAGTAAGCTGAGAAACAGCTCCTGTAACCATCTAGTGAGACCTAGAACAAAGGTGACACTTCAGCCTGGCAAATATGTACTTCGTGCCTCTCAGACGGACTTATTTGTAGGATCTCATTTGAGCCTTCCAGCTACACTGTGAGGCGGGAGGGAACTAGGGAGCTCTCTATTCTGCAAGCTGGTGATAGGTGCTCAAGAGAGGCCACAGATCCAACCCAGGTCGTGCTAAGCAGTTCCCATCTCCCACGCCATCCCGCAACCAGGCCTGGGACGGCACATACGGCCTGCAGAGGA